ATGGGTCCGTCCCACAACTGTATCATCTCGAATTCGATGCAAGACCATCGCAAACTAAACTCTAAGTTGATTTGTGATGAGATTCTATCAGTCGTCAGCGACAACCCATCTTTGAAGGTGAGTACCATAATTGCGCATATGGTACAAAGGTACAACTACACTCCTTCGTACCAAAAAGCCTGGATAGCCAAGAATAAAGCTGTTGAAATGGTGTTTGGAAATTGGGAGGAGTCATACAAGGAACTTCCTAAATTCCTAGTAGCCCTTAAACACTACTCTCCAGGAACTGTTGCGATATTGGAGACGTTGCCTGCTTGTACACCAGACGGGAGTTATGTTGCTGGCAATGGAATTTTCCACAGAGTCTTTTGGGCATTTGAACCATGCATCAAAGGGTTTGCATTTTGTAAACCTATAATTCAGATTGACGGAACCTGGCTTTACGGGAAATATAAGGGCACACTTCTGATGGCTGTGGCACAAGACGGGAACAACAACATTTTCCCGATAGCCTTCGCCATAGTTGAAGGGGAGACTGTTGGGGGTTGGAGTTTTTTCTTAAAAAACCTACGGTCATACGTGTCTCCCCAACCTAACTTATGTTTGATCTCCGATCGACACCCATCCATCGAGAGTGCTTACAACAACCATGACAACGGTTGGCAGGATCCTCCATCGACCCACGTCTACTGCATAAGGCATATTGCCCAAAATTTCATGAGGGAGATCAAAGACAGGACGCTGCGGAAGAAGGTTGTGAACGCGGGGTATGCACTAACTGAACCAACATTCAGATACTACTGTGACGAGATTAGACTGAACAACGCGGATGCATTAAGATGGATTGATGGCATTTATAGGGAGAAATGGACGCGGGCATACGACAATGGGGTGCAATGGAGCCACATGACAACCAACCTCGTCGAGTCAATGAATTCTGTTTTCAAGGGAATTCGAAACCTCCCAATAATTGCGTTGGTAAAGGCAACCTATTTTAGGATGGGATCACTTTTTGATAGCAGGCGTGCGAAGTGGGGTTCGGTATTACAATCGGGTCAGCTGTACAGCGACACTGCAATGAAATTCATGAAAGACGAAGCTGCCAAAGCCAACACCCAGGTGGTCACAATATTTGACCGTACAGCTGGTTGGTTCAGTGTTGCCGAGGCTATAGATCACAATGAAGGAAGGCCCAGGGGATGTTATCGTGTTGAATTAGATAAGAGCTGGTGTGATTGTGGAAAGTTTCAAGCATTCCGTATGCCTTGCTCTCATGTCATAGCAGCTTGTTCGAAGGCGCGCCAGGACCCAACCAACCTTCTTTCTGCAGTTCACCAAGTCATAAGTCTATGCAATGTCTACTCATGCAGTTTTCAGGTGTTAGCAAAGGAGGACTATTGGCCGGAATACGAAGGCCAAATTGTTTGGCATAATGACTTGATGCGCAGAAAAAAGAAGGGTCGGCCTAACAGCACGCGCATACGAACAGAGATGGATACCTCGGATAAGCTAGTGAGATTGTGTAGTTCGTGTCGGCAACCAGGACACAATCGTACGACGTGTCCAAACGTAGGACCAAGCAGCAGATCATAGTTTCATTTGTAAACGTGTCCATTTAATTCAATAGTAACTTTCATTTGATTAAAATCAAATTTCATTCTATTACAGGCAGAAGTAAGTGCAAATTTCCTTCTATTACAAGCAGAGTTAACTTTCATAAATTAAACAAACATAACAATAAATTAAAAAGATACACCAAAACACCGGAACAGAGCGTCTACGATATCACGACCATCAACTTTATCTCCTTTGGTGTCAACATCATCACAAGGACGCCGACATCATTTTCCACTTTTCTCCATTCACGAGTAACTCCGTTTCTATCGGTCTTCTCCACCAACCTCTCAATTTTCCTGATCTTTTCTCCTGGAGCAATATCCCCTTCTAGCCAGCGGTTCAGTTCCCTGTGCAAGTGCTTCAACGTCTGCGTATTCCACAGGAGCACATTCATCGGAGGCTTTGTTGCTGAAAACACCACAAGGGCATTTCTTTTCATTATATCAAACGTTGGAAAAGGTTCCTCCGATGCTGATGGCGAAGAAGAAGAACGTTGATTCAGAAATGCAGACATTATGGACTCCGCTCAACTCAAACCGCACTACCACTTTAGTCTTTTAGGAAATAATGTTGTAAAAAAAACATGTGTTTGAGCTCGTATTTATAGCCAAAAAAATGATAATTAAAAAATGATAAGTTAGTGCGCAAATACATCACAACAAGTGAAAATAAAATGCAAAAAAAAGTAAAAACATATTATACAAAAGGATTAATCCTCCTCAGGGATCGAACCCAGGCTAGCAAGGTGAAATGCGCATTTGATGACAAAGTGATTACCACTGGGGTGACTATACATCCATTGATGAATGCCACCCCAAAAATATATAAGGGAAGTTTAAAACCCTAGCTGGGCGATTTAGCAAGCAAACCAATTTATTTTAAATTTATAATTTCATAAAATAATTTAACCTTTTAAACTTAATTTTTTTAAATATTATAGATGACATTATAAATTATATTATAAATTAATATTAATATTAATTATATAAATATTAATTAGATTATAAATTTATATATTTTATGGTTAATAATAATAATAACTAAAATCAAAAAAAGAATGAAAACGGAAACCCTAACCAATATAACCAATTCGCCAATTGGTGTGGCGAATGCCCACAAAAGAGACTATGTCGCCAATTGGTTTGGCGAACGCCTTGAAGTCCATTTGGCCTAATTCGCCAATTGGTTTGGCGAACGCATGTTAGTCCATTTTGAAACATTGCCAATTTGGTAATAATTTTGAAAGAGTGATTTATTTGGTAAATAAAAATTAATACATTGCTACTTTAAAAAAAAATTCTCCTCCTTATCCTCTTTTTTAATGTCAATTAAAGAATCCTTCACCCTCAACTCCAAAATCCTAACTCCATTATCAACAATGCTACCGTTAAGAAAAACTTTAGAATTTGAGCCGAAGAGAGTATGAGTGTTATCATCATTGTCAGGATGGTTTATGCTTCTATCACCGAAAGAGTTTTTTTTAGGAGGTTTAGTTTTGATACTAGGTAATTTGGAATGGTATCTTACTTTTGTAAATAATACATGTGACATAAATAATACGCATGTCAGTCTAGTCACGATTCAAAAGTAAGAAAAAAATCAATTTGAAAAAAATAGTAATATAGAGACTAACATGACTCGGTTAAGTTTTGTAAAGGATTAAATAGAGATTTTTTTTCCAGGGATTAAGCTGGACTCTGCAGTTTTTGTGAATGATTAAAATGGATATTCACTCTTTTAATTAAGTGTAAGTATAAAATCATATTAAAAATGAAATGAAATCAACTTTAAATTTCTTTCAAATATAATAAAGCTATAATAAAAAATGTAAATCTAAATAGTTAGCCATGTCAAAAGATAGCCTATCAAGAAACCACATATACGAAACTATCTGATGAGCCAGTAAAAGCTAAGTGTGCTTCTAAAAAGGCTAAACTAACACCGAGTGATAATTCAATCAAGAGGTCTTCATCCTATTTTTGAATAAGTCAACTTACTTTATTTGTATTCTCCAATTTCATAATCCAAACAAAAATCTATTAAAGGTGCTCGCATCAGCAAACCATTGCTTTAACCACATTTACAAATAATGATACATACTAAGAGGTGCCTCCTTTTATGCATAAACACATTGACCAGATTGTAGATGTTAAAGGTGATGGTAACTCTGGTTGTCACGTTGTTTCAACTTTGTAGCAAATGTGATGTCATGATAGAGCATTTGAGAAAATTTGGGAAGGATTTTGGAAAAGAATTTGGGACAAAGTTGTATTCTAAGGAGATGGAAGATACGAGGAACAAGTTAGAAAGTACAAAGAAGAAATTGGCTCTTGTAGTTGTAGTGCTTATTTGTTCTTGGTTTTATTTTGTCATTGTCTAAACATAGAACACAGTTGTATTATTTTGTCTGTTAATGTATTGTTTTGTCTGTTAATTATATAGAATGAATGTTGTTTTGGAATGTATTAATGACTGATATATTGTGATGTATTATTGAATGTAGTGATTTGAATTGAACGAAAACAAAGTTGTTGCTTCAAATTCTAGTACTTTCTGCAATATATTTGGTGAAGATAATGGCATGTTATTTTTGCTTACAGTACAACCTTGTGCATTGATTTGAGAGATTGAGCACATAGTGTGCATTAATCATGTTGTACAAACTTACAAAATGTGGCAATACAACACTGTTAAAAACATGGTTGATGTGAAAACCTTACAAATGTGACAGTACAACATGATGAAATCATGAGCATGATTAAACAACATAGGTTAAACATAATACTACTTCCATATATATATATATATATATATATATATATATATATATATATATATATATATATATATATATATATTTAAGTCGTCATAAGAAAAATGTCATTACTAGTCACAATACATTATGACAATGCAACCTTGTTTCCATAACTTACAAAACAAAATGACATTACAACATTCAAAACATAAATACATTACAACCTTGTTCCAACTTACAAAACATAAAGACATTACCAACTTGTTCCAACTTACAAAATATAAAGACATTACAACATTCAAAATGACATTACAACACACACAATGACATCCATCTCGACAGTACACATTACTGGGTCAGTTTTTTTGGATATCTCATCCCATGATTTCGTCATGGACACACATGTCCCTAGTTTGGGGTCTTCTTAGCCAGTAGCAGTAGCAGGTGTATCATTAACATGTGAGTTGTCAATTTCCAAAGGTGCATCAGCAGTTGAACCTGGTCTAGAGCATTTGTCTTGCATGAAGATACTTTTTAGCCTTTCACTACTCCTAGTAGGTGCTTGAGTTTTCTTTTTAGACATCTTCAACTTTCCAAGTTTCTTCTTCTTTGGGGTAGGATTAATTATTTAAGACTGTTGAGTATTTTTTGGTTGAAAAGGAACTTCAGTAGGAAGCAACTGAGAAGCAAACGTGTTTTCAATTATGTCATCAATTTTTGGATCATAGAAAGGATCCTCTACAATTGGCTCAACAGTAGGATCAACAATTGCTTGCTCTACACTTGGTTCAGCAGCAATTTTGGTACTTTCAACAGGTGTTTTCTCTACACTTGGTTCAGCTGTGTTGGTATTGCTCGAGGTTTCACCCTTGGTCCTATGTGTTTTTCTCTACATATACACAAGGATAGTAAACCAACAATAATAATTAGTAGACAACAACCAATGCAGTTAACAAACAATGACAATGACTGATAATATACCTTTCTCTTCAATGCATTAGTGTCTTGTAATGTGCTTTGGCATTTCCTATAGTTGTTGCCAAATTGATCACACCTTGTGCACCTATATGCCACACCAGGCCTCCTCATCCTTGAGCCTGTTTCATCATGCTCCTTCCACCTTAATTTTTTTGGCCTACCTGGACCCTTCTTAAAATTTGGGGGTAACATCTCTTCAACTTCCACACTTGGCCACGTGTCCTTCCCATTGATTGGGCTAACATTATTCTCATAAAATAATTTATATGCCTCCCTCTTGTAATAGTCATCAACATACAATTCTGGATTAAGACTTTGATACTACATTGCAGCCACAACATGTTGGCATGGTATACCAACTAATTCCCAAAAGTAACATGAGCAAGTTTTTTTCCAAATATCCACAACAAATTGTAGCCTATTGAAAGGATGATGAACTTACCAAACCTCACCCATACTCCATGTTGGAAGCTAATGACCACTCCGTGTTGCCAAACCTCACTCTTTTATACCACCTTGCTTGTATTGGTTTTTTTTAGCCCTTACTTTGTACCTAAGAGACTTGTCATTAACATCAATCCTTGTACTACTAGTTGAAATAAAATATGATTAAAACTCATATAGTAGTAAAATGTCAATACAAAAATGGGGTATGACAAATGCCCGTATTTAATTAACTTGAACCAGAAGGTATGAATGACAACGATCATCATCCATTCATGATGGAAGATAATTAAATACTAAAAGACCCTGAATTTTGTCTAAGAATTAAGTGGAATCTTTCACTCTTCTCTTTCAATTAATTGGGTGCAAGATATCTTTCTCATGTTTGAGCAATTGATGTCTACAAATAACACAAACCCACATACCGTAGTATGAACTACGATTGCTCTGACTCCTTCATTGAACGAGGGAATACGTAGGCACAAGGGCCCCAATCCTTGGAGAACACCCTAATAATAAAGTCAACCATTTTTTCCTTAAACCTTAGTTAAAACCTTTAGCAAACTTTTTCCTTTTTATTATTCAAAGAAGACAAATAAGCGTAGTTGACACTCAAAATCATAAATTAGACTAAGAGGTTTCCGTTGAGTACAACAGACGTGAGGGGGTACTAATATCTTCCCCTTGCGTAACCGACTCCCGAACTTAGATATGGTTGCGTTGACCATTTTCCCTTACTTAAAATGTTTTCTCGATATTTTCCTTTTTCTTTATTGAAATAAATCAAAGTTCGGTGGCGACTCTGTTCGAACAAGTTTTTTCTGCATCCATCGTGAGGATCATATTTGTTGAGGTACGACAGACGGGCGATTGAAGACTCTCAATATATGAGGGATTACTTCAAATTAAGCAGGTCACGTTACATTTGGATACTCCTATTATACAAGGGGTTGTGATATTTTAAGTACGTGTTTTATAGAATTGTCTTCTTATTTATGTGTCATAAAATCATCAATGGTGCGAATGTTCGATTGGAGACTCCGAATATATGGAGGTTGCTTGAGACGAAATAGATCATCTTGTGATAAAATACTTGCGAGGTTGTAATTTTATGTTTTTATAAAAAGTCGCATCTATAGATAGATAATTTAAAAGAGGAACTTAATCACTTTCATAATTATATCAGTTAACTGGTGGTTAGAGTTTTAGATTTACAATTAAAGACACAAACCAATCAATCCCCTTTGTGCACCCATCACAATTACACATCCATTACATACAATTGACAAATGCAATCACCTTATCATTTACGAGGTTAACACATTTATAAATGACAAATTGTGCTTTTTGTTTGCCCATTTACTGCAACATTTATTTTCATTCTAACAACTGAGTGTAAAGACGAAGTGAAAACGGGGTGCGAAAAGAGTATAATAAAAAGGAGATCCAAAATATAAAATTGAAGTTTAAAAAATCTTAAATGAAAGAGGATAGCTTGGTAATGAAAGTTGAACAATACTAAAAGAAGAATAACACCAGGAAAAGTCTAAGGCGGAATAACTCATAGATTTAGATGATGACCTATTTTTTTAATGCATTTTAGCGTTTATTTTACAATGCATTTATGTGGTGATACATTTTTTGGATGTAATGTTAGTTTGTTATTTTCATGGATGTAATCTTGATGCATTTTTGCGTTTTAATGTATATTTAACTTTTTTTTTGTATAATTATTGGAATTAATGTTTTTGTGTGTGTTTGTATGTCATAAAACAAGTCCATACAACAAGGGTTGTGAATTGGTCGGGTGTAAATCCAGATTTCAATCTTCGCACAAACCCTATATTTTGTGTATATGTGTGTTAATAGGGGAGAATTCAAATTTCAATATCCGGAGAAACCCCATGTGTATTCTTTGTACATGATAAAAGGAGTTGAATCTGAAATTCAATATTTGAACCAACCGCTAAGGCATCATTGCATTTGTATGGTCCTTAATCCTCTAAAACTTGTATAAATATATCTGATATGTTATTAGCACATACACTCTAAAATGAAAGAATTTTGGTATATTGCATTTGTTTAATTCAATCGCATGAGGTCTCCTTTGAATTAAGAGTAAAAAAGAACACCTCTTTTATAGATCTAAAATTCAAATTGGAGAATTTCTTACACTACGTCGACAATCAAATAGTGGCTAAGATTGAGTATCGTTCATCAAAGGTTAATAATGAAGGAAATATTAATTTCAATAATTTGGAGTTGAAGACTGATGTAAATGTAAGTGTTATGTAGACTACATTTCATTATTACATAACTAAGGGTCCAATCGAGGTGGATGCGATAATTGCAAGATCAACCACAAATATTTTACAAGTGATGGAGCTTCTTGAACCATCTGTTACGGATGAAGTGTCATATTGGTTTTAGGTTAATAAATACCTATGTCATGTTATTGTTATACCCTAATTCTTACCCCTAAGATCCCATTCTTTTTTACATTTTTTGCATACAAACAAGATCACAAGCTTGGTTGCTTTCTTACCCTCTCATCTTTGGATTTGTTTTTGCAGAGATCACCAAGCACCTCTTTATGTATCTTTTTCCATTATTTTTATATGCGTTATGGTCCCCCTATTTTAAATTTAAACAATTTTGATCCTTCTATTTTAAATTTAAACTGTTTTGGTCTCCCTATCATATTTTTAAACTAAAAATTAACGACATTTTTATTTTTTTAATGGCAATTTACATGTAAAACATAACAAATCATCGTATATAAACATATTATTGAACTTTGTAGATAAAAATATAAGTTAAAAAACAAAATTTTCATCGATTTTCTATGAAAAAGTTTAAGAAAGGGATTGAAACTGTTTGAATTTAAAACAGAGGGATCAAAACTATTTAAATTTTAAATAGGGGGACTAATTTCATGAATCAAACAAAATAGGAGGACAAAAACCGTAATTTAGCCTTATTTCTTCTTAGCTTGCTCGTATTGTTATTTTCTTTGTTTACTAACGTGTGGCCGTTGTTTTGAAGGTAAAATATCTTCGTCCCAGAAGCGCATGGTGAAGAATGTCCAGGCGAAGATGAAAGCGGGCAAGAAGGTCGGAAAAAGCCGCCTGAGTGAGCAAGCGGTTCCTCTGCTGACGGGGTTGGGGACTTCAACCTTTAGAGTCGCAGTTGCCTAGAATTCTCCGCTGCCGGTAACTTCCTGTGTTAAGCGCTCTCAGACAGGGGAGTTCCCCGACCTGACTCAGGAGGGGGAGAAGAGCAAGCTCAACCTGCCTCCATGCTTTCTCAACCGGAATTTCTTCGAAGACTCCTCTCTCTCAATGTTGCTGCCCTGATGAGGGTCTTTGGCATGGTTGTGGTCTATACCGAGGAGAGGGATCTCCAAGAGGCGGAGCAAAAAATTCCCAGGCCACAGTCGTGACTCTGAAAGGAAAGCTGAAGGACGCGGATGAGGCGAAGAAGAATTTCTTCGAGGAGGCAGTGAAGAAATACAAGGATGAGCTAGTCCAGGTTATCAAGGGGAAGGACACCGTGGTCGCGCAAAAGAAATTTGTGGAGGAGATTGTTGCATCGCCGGGGGTTGCCACCGCTTCTACCGGGGACAAAAGCGATGAGGAGAAGAGTCTAAAGACTCGAGCCTAACTCGTTACCCGTATTAAGAAGGCTGAGGAGGATTATGTGGGGATTGTCGAGGAGGCTTTCAATAACACCGTAAGGCAACTGAAGATAACAAACCCCGAGGTCGAGTTGTCTATCGAGGGGACCGGTTTTCTCTATAGCGTGGTAGACGTCTAAATCATAATCTCAGACTTCCTCAAATTTTCCGAGGAGCAGGGGCAGCTTGCCCGCGACGAGGCTCAGCCTATGGTGGACTAGTCTTCTTTTTGTAGTACTTCTGGCCTGCGTGTCGTAATCTTGTAATTTACTATTTGTATGTGGTGAGGTCTCCTTTTTATTATAACAAGTATAATTGTGGCACTCGTGGTCGTCCTATGTTACTATTTATTTCTGGTTGCGTGTGATGTGTGCATGTTATTACTTTGATTTAAATTTGCTAGCTGTCGCACGCTGCTCGTTATTTGTGCCTGTTGTATGGGCCATTCAAGTGAACAATTTTGTTAAGTCTAGGGGTTCGCTCGATAAAATGGTGTTTGACAGTGGGCGGAACCGGTCGAAAGGCCATAATTGTTTCCGGACATGAGAGCGTAACTCAGGTCACGTTTATGGCATGTGTTCGCAGCGTGAACTTCCCATTGTGAGCTGGACATTCTGCTTTTCTTAGTACGTTGGTGACGGCGGGCTCGGTCGACGGACCTCCGTCGAGCAAGGGGTTTTCCCATTTCTAGAGAAAAAGTTTACCTTGAGTCATTTTAGTATGCAATGCTTGTACCTGGGTGTACACTTCTGGTTGATACATTACATTCGTCGTGTCGACGTTGCGTACTGATGGTTATGGCCTTAGCTATAATATTGTTTTAGCTTTTCGGTGTTCAATGGTCGAGCGAGTTCATCCCCATTAAGATGTTCTAGGTAGTATGCCCAATTTTCTATTTTTCTTGAACGTGATAGAGTCCTTCCTAGTTTGTGGCAAGTTTGCCTTTGCGAGAATCTTTGTGCTTTCTCATTAGAACAAGATTACCCACTCGGAAGTCTCGTCGTATGACTTTGGCGTTGTGCCTAATTGCAATTTTTTTAGTGAGGTCTCACAGAGGGTAGCTCCTGATCGG